AGGACTTCATTTCCAATTTCATGTGGCAAGAGAGTTAACTTGTATTTTCAGAAGGCGAGGTCACCGACAGAGGACCTTTCCAAGCATACAGATGTGGGATGAATCTCTACACTACTTACACTTCTCTTTGGCTCTCTTTCATGTAGGGGTGCTGCTACAGCCTGACATGTACTGGTACAAATATTTGTTCAGAACAAGGCTACTGTTTTCGGCACCCAGGACTGATAGCTACGTTTTAATCTCCACAGGAGGGAGGAACTGTTGTCTCACACGCCATCATTTCATATACCTCAGTTAAAATGAGGCGGAATGAAGCCCTACATGACAGATGGTCCAGATGAATGATAACTCCCTCGCATATATCAGGATGAATAGTGTGTAGAATTAGGAGAATGGCTGGTAATGAGACCCCCAACAGCGGTGGCATCAGAGTGCTGGACTTATATTTGTGTTCACAGCTTTGATAGACTGTCAGAGCGATGGACTGGAGGCCGGCAGGCAGACAGGCTTGCACAAATACTCGTTGCAGCGAGGGGTTAATTTCAGTGTGATCCGCTGCAAAGTGCTGACCCACAGACATGCAATCGATACAAGGACTTGAGGTAGTAATATGTCTGTCATAATAATCACTTGAAGGGAAGTTAAAACATTTGAGCACATAACTGGATTTTAGCTCATTAGACCAGATAGAAATAAACGCAATCACAACTAAATCAAAAGCAAGGCTCAGTCCCAGCTCTTCCGATAATGTATCAGTGCATTACATGGTTCAGTCCCAGCTCATCCGATAAAGTGTCAGTACGCTAACATGGTTCAGTCCCAGGTTATCCGACAATGTGTCAGTATGTTACATGGTTGTCTCAGCTTAATCACCAATGCGGCAGTATGTTACATGATTCAGTCCCAGCTTACCCACCAATGCATCAGTATGTTACACAGTTCAGTCCCAGGTTATCTGACAATGTGTCAGTACGTTACATGGTTGTCTCAGCTTACCCACTAATGCGGCAGTATGTTACATGATTCAGTCCCAGCTTACCCACTAATGCGGCAGTATGTTAAATGGTTCATTCCCAGGTCTTCTGATAATGCGTCGGTATGTGACACGGTTCAGTCCCAGCTTATCCGCTAATGTGTCAGTACGTTACATGGTTGAGACCCAACTCATCCGATAATGTGTCAGTATGTTACACGGTTCAGTCCCAGCTCATCCGATAATGCATCAGTATGCTGCATGTTTCAGTCCCAACCCCTTCACATATTTAATCATGGTATGACACAGAACACACAAGCTGAGGTGTGTGCTGTACAGAACTGCCTGAGATGAGATTCGAGAAAAGGCAGCTTTATCTCCTGGGTGAAGATGCAAGACATCGATACCCAGAAGAGAGGAATCGGGAAGATTAGTGACGGCAAGGTCAGGGATGTAGAGACACGCGCCTGCTGGGGGGGGGCAGATGCTGCTCTGAATTCCCCAAAGCTTGTTTACGTTTCTTTTTCATTCGACCTCGCTGCCCAAACCTGACCTAATCCTCCTGTTAGGTATTCATCACCTGGGTAGCGGGTGATTGAAACGGCTGTTGGAGGTGGTTCAGGGGGAGAGATCAGCTGGAAGGTCTTCCTGTCAAACAAACACAATGGCCCCATGTCAGAGAGGGCTGTGTGTATGTCTGTATTGGGAGGCGGGCTCCATTTCTGCAGCCTGCCGACGTCACGTCCAGCAGGATCCATCACAGATCAGCTGTGGGATCCATGTGGGCCGGACTGCCTGCAGTATGTCTGCTTAAAGGAGGTGGAACCTTCCAGTGACATTCGACACCCCCCCGCTCTGCTTGTAATGGATAGAGGAACTGAGGATAGAGGAACTGAGGATAGAGGAACTGAGGATATTGCTGCTGCACTACTTTGTCTTCTATGTCTTCTGTGTATTATGTCTTATGTTTTGTCTGTGAGGGAGGGGTTTTCAAGTAAGAATTTCATTGTGCTCTGTACGCTGTACTTTGTACATATGACAATAAACTTCAAACTCAGGAACTGAGGATAGAGAAATTGAGGATAGAGGAACTGAGGATAGAGGAATTGAGGATAGAGGAACTGANAATTGAGGATAGAGGAACTGAGGATAGAGGAATTGAGGATAGAGGAACTGAAGATAGAGGAATTGAGGATAGAGGAACTGAGGATAGAGGAACTGAGGATAGAGGAACTGAGGATAGAGGAACTGAGGATAGAGGAATTGAGGATAGAGGAACTGAGGATAGAGGAACTGAAGATAGAGGAACTGAGGATAGAGGAATTGAGTGCAACAGTTCAATCAAGCCCAGAGCAAGTTTGTGTTAATGGCACTGCTCACCCTCACAACGATGGCTGTCACTCAAGCCCTAATCCAGCACACTTACAGACAGAGCAAACAGCCCCCAGCAGGACACGCTAATGCCAGTCACCAGCCACCCTCTGTTTGAAGCGTCATTCCTAACAACACACACGGCCTCTGGCGTAATTCCGCCCCCCCGACCGTCATGGCATGTGTTACGGCGACAAGCGTGCACTTCCTTCCACTTCCCGCCCGCCACATTGTCTCCCACTTTAGCCATTTATGTTGCCAGATTTACGCTGACCAATTTGTGATTAACTGCCTTTAATGCCCCCATCCTGAAACAGGGTGCACCTGAATATTAGAATTTTTACTCTACTGACTACTGGCCCACATCACCTAGCAGCAGAATACGGGTCCCCTCCAAACAGTTATTTTGTGGGCACTGGGCTGAGGCGCTGGGTTCCCAGTACAGCCTGCTCTCTGTCTTAATCGGCATCATTTGTCATAAAGAAAGTTCCACATTCTGACTCTGGCCATTACACTCATTTCCTGGTCTAATGTCTGTTATTAACATTCATTATTTATCATAGAAGGACTCCTGACTGCCTCACATTGCTATTCTAAGAACGATGAATCTGCCCAGGTGTTTAGTCTGTGCTTGGATCTAAAGATGCCTCTCTTTTCAAGTTAGCTGTAGTTATATGCTTATCTCTTTCGTTTTGTTGATGTAGTATCAGCCTTTGTGTGCATATTACAGAGCGAGTGAGTGTGGGAGTACGTTATGCAGACTATCATGCAGTTAATAAACCTATAAATTCTCAAGGTGCAGATGAAATGGAATTTCAAGCCAACGCATATCGGAGCCAAAATATCAAAGCTGTCCATCAGCACACCGAGTTTTACTGCTGGAGCCCCACGCTGATGCTGGTGAAAATGCCCCGGCGATGGGCCAGTGTTAAGCTGGACCCCTGATGCCATTCCTAGTAACATGTCAACACGGCCGTTTGGCCCGGTCAAACTCTGAAAGCAGCGGGGCGTGGACAACCTGCCATGTCTTTATGGGGGTGAATCCAATCACATATGCATGAGGAATCTGGCAAACCATGTGTTAGCTGTTCATGTTTCACCTTGTTAATCACCCAACCAATAGATATTTATAATGATCATTAATTGAGAGCGGAAATGACACCTGGCCTGTGAGGTCCTTTGGTATTGCACTGCATCATGGTGACTTTTCTTTATATAAAAACTTGGGCCCATAAGGGCTCCTGCTCAGGTTATGCTTAGAGAAATTTCTGAAGGGCAGCTTATTCCACAGAACATTAATGGCATGTAAACGGCTCATAAAACCAACGAGCATCTGTTGGAAGATTTGCTGTCACCGTGGCGACAAGGAGAGTAGTACAGTTAAAGCAGATCCATAGCCTGGTTCACACCTGAATGGCCAGAAGGTCCTAGATGGAGAGAGAGAACCATCTATCAGTCAGCGATCCTCACGAGCAAACCCATGCACAAATCTGCAGAACTGACAGAAACAGGCTCAAAAGCGCTCCCCTGATGCACTGAGGATTCCAGATGTTTCTCTACAGCTGTAAACACAATATGGTCACTGGTATCACGCGCATTCAATAAAACACGGGGCATTTAATGGCTTGGTTAGCTCTTTATCTGCATTCTGATAGTACTGTAGATGTTATTCTGCTAGCTAACACCATCAAGAGACCAGATGTTATATTTTTCCTGGGGATGTAGATAAATTAATCTCTTAAACAACAATCACGGACAAGTTTCCCCCGAGAACTTAGCAAAATGAAACGTCAGTCTTGTATATCATGTATTGTGTGCACGCTGCTTTCGCTGTTGAACTGTGGGTGAGGGGTATTGGCCAACATGTAGAGCTCATTCTTTGTTCTACTTCAGCTGAAAAAACTGATTTGTGGTTGTTTGCTTTTTTACGAAGTAACATATTACACTAACTCATTACGGAATTGCCAGAGGGTAGTTCAGTATAAAGAAGGATTTTGTGTGTTTTTTTCCTCCTGACATACAGAATTAAGCTGAAAATTGCTAGTCTACAACAAACTAGAAGCACTCAGCTCTGGACGACGTGGTGGCCGGCGTCATGTCTCCTGGGAACCTATTTGGTGGTTCCTGGGGGGCACATTCGGAAACTAAGCTAGAAAAAGCTACCTTTAACCTCCAAGCGATTACCACATTGATATTATTGCATTTAGATGGAAGTGCCTCACTAAGTCAAACAGAGGCAATTACAGCCACCCTCTCGATGCTGTTGGAGCCTGGGAAGAGTGATCAGACTTCTGTCATCATGGGCCTGGGAGGAGAGAGTCCCTTGGTGAAATACCATGGAGTCAAGATCAAGGACATGATAGAGGGAGCGTGCAGTAAGGCTCGCCTTTAATTGTTTATTAAATCTAATTTTAAATGGTTGATATGGTGCAGCGAGCTTCAGAATGAGCGGGCGGACGGTGAGTGCACAGTGCATAACCTGAGACCAATTACAGCAGCAGAATTGTGACCATGTGCGACACTTACCTAACATCTGTTCCGGATAATTCCGGGGAGCCAGAGAAGCTCTTTTTCCTCAGATCACTGCTGAGAGCAGACGCACTGATGTCAGCTCCAAGGCTAACAGACTTCAAGTCAAAACTGGCCAGGCCCAGCACTTTCCAGCGTGTTGGCCCAATGCGTTTGGGTCCGTTATGTCCGTATGACTGAATGAAGCCCAGCAACCTACAAACACAAAGAGCTGGCTGAGTTTTCCGAGTGGCAGGCGCCAGGTTCCGCACCAGCGCTGAGCACTGCGAGCACGACGGCGGCTGGAATGCTGCTCACAGAGCCACATCCCGCATAGCGGCTTTCTGCTGTGTCAATATTTGCACCTTTTCTTTGAGAGCATATTGGCTGGGTAGACTGGAGCTTGGCAGAGTGCACCTGTCCTTATGAGTAAGGTCAAAGGTCAAACCAAGAGGAGCCAGCCGGCAGCTCTACCAAAGCCACACTGGCAGGGATAGTGCAAACTCACTCTGGATTCAGCAGAGTTAGATCACTGCTGAGAGTGGGTCCTGTTAGCAGGACCGGGACAAATTCCGGGATGAACAGCTATTGTAGAGGATGGCATGATACATGAGCGGCCAAACTATAGATGCCAAGCTATTAGAATGAGCTTTGTGTGATGTAAACAGCGAGCTCCTGCCGAAAGCCACAGGACACCGAGACGAAGAGAGATGACGAAACAAGACAATATTGCAATATTAATAATATAAAATATGAATAAAATATTAATGTTGGAAAATTGCACTTTCCAGCACAGAAGCGTGACCCCTAGCATAGCGGAGCATCGTCAAATGCCGATTTGGGGTACTTCTGTACTTCTGCACGACTGCGTAAACCGTCACGTTCCCGTCAAGTACATTCCGGATTCAGAGATAACACTCTGTGCTGCATCCTTATGGGCACATTAGCATATGTTCTTAAATCTCCTATACAGATACCTCTACAAGTTTGAGACTGGTCAGTTCCTATCAGGAAGGACTTCATGCAATCTGCTGGGTCACCGGGAGATGCTGAGGAGCCATCCTCGCTGTCTTCAGGTGCTACTTCGGCTGGGCTTTAAGGAACACCAGATGTGGAAAGCAGTCACAGAGTACTCAACTGGCTGGTCGAAACAAAATCTTGGTCTGGATTTGTACTTTCTGCACCTGAAATATCCACCTCTGGCTAATGCCATTGGATTCATGACTGAAGTGCACTGCTAAATTTGTATTTCAGTATTTCAGTCTAAGTGAAGGAGCTAGCTATTTTAGTAAGAGGAGTCTTGTAATTCCATCTGGGACGTGGCTTAACCACTGCACCATATGCTGGCCTCTATAAACTCATGTGCCACACAGGCGTCAACTGCTCAGCGGAGGCGAGGGTGTGAAGGAGGACGGAAGATGTGCCTCCTCATGTCTGGGGGCGTGTCCATATGGGATGTGGCGCATGCTGGCGCCTCCAAATGGCTGGAAGAGCTTTCAGAGAATAACAGGTTGAGCAAAGCAGAGAGGATGGTGTGGGCCCGTCTGTTTTGCAAGTACAGCTTGATTGGCTCACTAACACCCAGGCTGAGCCAGTGCCGGGTTACACACTGAGATCACTTTGGTGTGTAATTGTGCTTTGAGAGAGTGAAACACAGGACCTAAGGAAAAACAAAGAAATGTGTCAGTTAAAAATGTTGTCATGGATGCCAGTCCTGTGAGAGGGGCCGTGAGCTTGCTGCCCACACACTGACATCGCCCCAACGATCGCAAATTCAGGGCTGTGCAAACATGAGTCTTAACCCTTGGGGTTTCACACACGCCAAGCTGGCCAGTCTGATCACGGCTCTCCGGCCTGCTCCAGGGGCGTGTAGACACAATGGGTGGGGTTGGGTGACGGGGTGCTCTGCCTTGTAGATTTGGGGGGGTCATTGAAGTAAAGAATGAGACATCAATCATGAACTCCATTGTGGTGCGTGATAGCACTTTCCTTTCTATGTTTTCTTAAACACAGAATGCCGCGCTGCGATAACGGAAGTGTGCTCAGGCCTGGAAGTGCTATGTGAGCGCAGATCAGTGAAGGAGGGGGGGTTGGGGGTGGGGAAAATCAGGCCAAGTGTGAGTACGCCCTTAGGCGAGACAGCAGGAGGGACCAGAAAGGTAAGCAGCTTTAGGAGACGGGAATCCCTCCTCTGAACAAGGCATGGAGACACACTTTAGTCTTACTCTGTTCCTGGATAAAGCACAGGTCCGTTTAAACTGAACCAGCATTTCCATTTGTGAATAGTATAAGAAATTAGTTACTAAAGAATCAAATATAGCAGAGCTAAAACCACTAGCATCAATACAATCAGGCTAACCAGGACAGTGTTAACAAAAACTGCTAAAAAATAAACATTTCTTTCATGGAATGGCATCATCAACCATGATTCCGATTTATCCTCTGCGGTAAATGGCACCTCCACATCCTCCTCTTGAAATAGGAACAAGGGTCATCATGACCCTTCTTAATTTCCCCCTCCCTCCCCTTTAATCCTTAATCCGCTAAATCCTTAATGAGAAATTGACAACTCTCATGAAGGAAATCAAAAGGGTTTACCCTGTCTTGCCAGGACAGTGTGCCATCAAGCAAATAATAATTAAACACACAATTAGCTTAGCGGCAAAGCAAAAAAAAAAAAAACATTAATGCAAGGATGAATTTCAGAAAGAGTGTGGGCAAATACAGTGAGGGGGGGCGTTTTTAATTAGGCCCTGCTGCGTTTCCTTCCATTGTCACGTTCCACTGTTTGTGTGTGTTTTCACCAGCAGTCCTGTAAAGGATGGCTTAGGCCTTAGTTTGCCTTTTCCAAAAGTGCTGCTGGAAGGACTGAATCGCCCCCTGGGAAACTGTCCTTAATTATGCATACAGGCCGCACCCCATCCTTCGCTGTCATAAACTGGGAATTCGTACGTGCCCGTGTTTGCCCAGGGCATTACACTGGCAGATTAGCCGCACGACACCAGAAGATCACACCGCAGTCCCCCGGGCAAAGTGGCAGAGAATGCCTTCATTATCGGTGATTCCTCCGCTTTCCCCAACTATCGGCAAGGCAGGATTATGTAGTGGTTAGAGTGGGGGGGTTAAAGTTCCTCCAGTCTTAAATGTTGCCGTCCAGGAAACACGCGGGGCAGCGTCAAAGCACTCGTCCCAAGCAGGTTGACCACATGCGCTGATTAGCTTAACAGAATGGAGAGGTATGTGCCTTAAGCAGATGGTACTGGTCAGACAGGGCACACTGGTCAGACTGGGCACACTGGGTACTGCAAATCCTTCAATAAGCACATTTAAAAAGATGTTCATCACAAGGAGCTACAGGCTGAATAGCTACCAAAAGCTGCATTGGATTTAAAGTTTAAAATCAGAGGAGAGAAACAGATTTTTAACATGGTAAACATAGTTGATTCTTTGAAGGGCAGCTTGGTTCCGGAAGGCCTCCGGACCAAGTATCCCCAAGGGATGCGTCTGGAGGGGGCCCATCACAGAACTGCTGGAGGGGGCCCTTCACGGAGCCGCTGGCGCGTGCCTTACCCATCCTCCTAGCAGAGTGCCATATAGGTGATGACTCGCCCCTTATTTGATATGAACAGACCTCTCAGATGTCGCCCCACTGCCCGGGATTTGGGTATCCATTATTTATGAAGGATTAGGCCCCTGCCTTGCCTGCTCAGGGTGGGACACAGCGGGGGCCTCATTAGCGCTCTCAGGCACTAAGGCGGGCGTGGCCCACAGGGATTATATGCCGTCGCCATCTGGGTGACACCCACAGACCCACCATTGCCCTGCTTGCCCCCCCCCGATTAAAGGCCCTTGGAACACCCAGGATGTGCTTCACGCCCTGCGCCAAAAGCAGGGTGAGGCGAATGCTCCCCGAGCTCAGACCTGCTTGTTTTTATATCCATATAAATATTAATAAAAGTACTCGATGGGACTAAATCCTACCACGGTCCCGTAATCTCCCGCGATTGAAAAAGCTGGGAGGAAGCTCCTTTGTGATTCATCATTCCGGAAAAGTCTCAGGTGGAGATGTGCCGGCTAATCCATCAAGATCCGCTTTCTTATTAAATTCCTTCGGATACACTTCCTACCCCTTTAGTGCGGGCCGCTGTCCTTTCTGATGTCATAAATAAACAGATGAATGACGGAAGGGTGACGGCCCTTGACCAGCCGGGAGAACACGTATGTTTGGATGAAACTTTCACCCTGCCTTGGTTTTCAATCCTTTCACGAATACGGGGGGCCTCCACCTACCGCAGCACTTTGGACAGGGTTGCCTGCCAGTGTACTGTATGAAAATGGGGGAGCAGAAACACATAGCAAGACATAGCTATTTTCAGTTTACTGGATCATTTAGATCTCAAGATTAGACGCGATCGTTTTTAATTTCTGTTCTCCATAGGCTGAAGTAAATGCCTGCTTCAGAGATAACAGCATGCATCCCTCATTGTGAAAGACCCGTTTAAGTCCTTCAGTTAACTAGCAGCGAACTGAGCTGTCTCAAAAGCATCTCGTAAGGAAGACATTTAGCAAACACATTCCGTTCACGGTGCCTAACGAGTAGCAGTCTTTACTTATCACTCGCGCTAACAATGATGCTTTAATGAAATGCATCTGAAAGGTGTTTGTCACTTATTTCAATCTAACAGATTTAATGATAGCTGCAAAATATTTAAGGAGGTAGAGGAATAGTTAGATGCACTAGACTATAAAGGAATTCAAGAGTCACCTTAAGTACATGTTTATGGAAGGTGTTATTTAACAAGATTTATCAGGGCTCAATTATCCTAACTCATTACCCAGAATTCTGAGCAACTTTTCAACGAAATGAAATAATGGGAAATAGGGCTGTTGTCTTGCTTATTCATAGTATCATACAAATATACATAAAAAGCAAAAAAGTTTTTCAAGTAACGACATTGCAGAGGAAAAGAGCATGTTGATTTCATATCTTAGCAACCATTTTGATGCCCTTCTGCTAATGGAAGGGAATGGTCCATCCTTCCTGTTTTGCTCCATATATGTTATTAGACGACTGATGGACAGTAATAAATGACACTTAAGAATGTTTTATGCTGAGAAGCTCGAGAGGGAATGTAGTCTCTGCTAGTACACGGGGGATCCACAGAGGAAGGAAGCAGAACTGGGTGTGCAAGACAGTGAAGGCACAAAGAGGGAGG